GAGCCCCGCGGAGCAGCCTCCGCGGGCGCTCCCCTCACACCATCCTGCAGCCGTTTCCATGCAGATTTCCCTCTTGGCTGGCGGCTTTGGAGGCAGTTTGGGGGCTCAGCACCCACCAGAGCCTCCCGTGCCGCCTTCCTGGGGGTTTCACCCGGATCCCCAGTGTCTCCCAGGGCGCAGCAGCACGTGGAGCCGGGCAGCACCCCGGGGCGATGCCCGTGCGGCTCCCGCAGCCCCGCGATGCTCCACGCGCGGGGGCGGCAACACGGACAAAGGCGCCTTTGAGGGAGCCCGGCCTTGCTTGGGCAGCGCCGAAATGTGTGAAATTTGCCTTTCGCCAGACTTCTTCCTCAAGCGGAACTTTCTCAGAGGAACATGCCCCGGCGCGGGCCCTAATGGCTTTTCTCTGTGCGCCTGCATTAATGACGGCCAGGCCCGGCCTCATCGGGGGGAAGCCATGCAAGTAATTGCCTGCATTTTTAATTCGGGGTTATGATAGGGGAATCAAAGTCACACTGCCGTCGCTGAGGCCGCCCGCTGTTCCGAGCCATTGACTTTGGCAATTTTCTCTTTTTTGCCCTCCCTTTTCCCGCTCTCACCGTGCCCCCCTGCTCGGGACCCTGGCGCTCCCAGGCCGGGGGCTGCCTGGCCTGGCTCTGGCTCAGCTGCTTTTGGCCCCGGGAGCGGCCGGTTGCCATCGGGGCGCTTTGTGCCCCGGTTCTGCCCAATTCGTGCCTGCACGAGGGCTGCACGGACGCAGAGTTGCTGCTCGCTATGGGCTGCCTGGCGGCCCTGCTCTGCCTTGCAAAACACTCGCCCGGTAACGGCCTCATCTGCATTTAATGGCGCTGCCCCCGGCGCCGTTTGGGCTCCTTCTTTCCATGATGGCAACGCTCCCTCTCAGCCCCACAGCGCCCAGTGCTCGCGCTGAGGATGAGCAAGGTGCATGTGGGGTGCCCTGCAACGGGCAGGCGGGAACGGCCAAGCTGGCCCGGGGGCTTCCGGGGTGGAAAACCCCTGGGAAGGCAGTTCCCGGCAATGCCACCAACCCAGGGGAACCAGTGACCCCTGGGAAGGCCGTTCCGGCAACGCTGGCACCAACCCGTGGCACCGGGAGCCCTGTGTCCGGCAGTGGGACGGTGCCCCGGTGTCCCCGTGGGGCCGTCTGGGCCGGTGATGGAGCAAGGCCCCGTCCCGGAGCACGGGGGGCTCCGCGCGGGCGGGAGGGACACGCGGGTTATGAAAGTTTCTTTGCTTTGCTTTGGGGAAAGGCGAACTTCAAAGGAGCCATTTATCACGGCACAAAGAGAGTCGCGAGTTATTTGCAAAGTGGAAGGGAGAAGCATTAATTACAGCGGTGACAGACACCGCTGCTGCTGCCTGTCCTCCTCCCCGGGGTCCTCTCCAGCAGCCGCCTCCCTGGGGAGGCCGGAGCAGCTCCCCACGCCAGGCAGCCTCTGCACCGAGTGCACATGCATGTGGCATACACATATACACATGTGCATGCTTGCAGTGCATGCGCTCGCATGGATGTGCGTGCATGCCCTGAGCACCCGGGGCTTGGCCGACCACTCCTCACCAGGGCCCTTTGGGGCACTGCAGGGACCTCCTGCCCCTGTGGGACCTGCTTGGCCTCCAAGCCGACCAGGGCGTCCCCAGGTGCTCGTGTCCCTGCGCTCCGTGCGCTTGTGCCCATCGCGATGGTGTGAGCTGGGAGGGAGACGAGGCTGTGGCGGAAACCAAAGTGGATCCCGGGGCCTAGAGCTGGGAAGAGAAACTCCATGGCATCGAAGGGGCCTCGGGAGGGAGGTATTTTGCTGCGGAAACACATCTCCTTGGCAGGGCCCACAGGGCCTCCAGGTGCCCAAGACGTGGCCAGTTTGTGCCAGAGCCTCCCCGGGGCTCCCTGCACTTCCCCGATACCGGAACGGGCTGGGATTTGCGTGGGTGGATCGAGAGTCACTTCTGCACACTTGACTTGGTGGGGCAGCTCTGGGGGCCCAGACAGGCCCCATTCCCGAACTGCTGGCCCGGAGCCGGGGCTGCTCCCCCAGAGCGGCCAGAGCTTGGGCCCTCGGCTCGAGGCCGTTCGGACGTGGAGGTGTCCATGGGGCTTCGGTGCCGTTTGGCACCATGGATGAGCAGTCTCCTGCACTGCCCTGCCCCATGGGGAGCAGGGCTGCCCGGAGCTCCCGGGCCCAGTGCGGTCCGCCGGCCGCGCTCCATGGGCTGGAAGTCCCCTGGGGCCCCGCGGCCACCTCTGCCTTTCATGTCTGCTCCGCGCCGCAACCGCAGCTTCCCCTCGCCTCCGCGCGGGAGCAAGCACAGGTCATATTTAATAAAGGTGGGGATGGGAGAAGGCTTCAAAACATTACGTCAGCCGCGCGCGGGAGGCGGCACCCTGGGCGCGAGCGGGGGCAGCGGCGCGAGGGCGGCAGCCGGGGGGTTTAATGGCCTTGTTTTGGTGGGAACGCGGCCACGGGGCCGGGGGCGGCTGCCCAGGACTGGGGGCGGCTGCTGGTGCCCGGCAGCAAATGCAGCCGCACGAGGACGGGCGGCGGGCGCAGGCGGCGCCAGCGCGGCCGTGCGGAGCTGCGGCGACGCTCCCGCCTGGGCCGCCGCGTCCCGCCGGGGCTGCGGGCGCTGCCACGCGCTGCATCCGCGGCGGAGCGGCCCAGCGCCAAGGGCAAATCCCGGCCCCTCTCGCAGCTTCGCTCCCGGGGCGCTTTGCCGTGGGGTTTGCCCGAGATGCTCCCCGCCATGCGCCGGAATGGCGCGCGGTCCCGTCGGACAGAGCGCGGCCCTGGGAAGCTCTGGTGGCCCCAGGGCTGCCATGGCTGCCTCTGTCTGCTGGGAAGAGTTAATGAGGTGTGCGGCAGCGGTGGGAACGCGCCGCGCGCTGGGAAGAGCTGGGCGTGGAGGAAGGGGGAAGCGCCGGGTGGGAGAGATGGACCAGAAAACAATATCCACTTCATTAGCCAGGTGGCTCCGAACGTGTGGAAATAGGACAAGGTCCAGGTCACCCACTGTGACAGAACATTATTATCATGCAGTGCCATGAAGCCTGTGCAAAGACCAAGTCAAAGCTCACCAGCCCACTTGAAAGAGAGCGGGGAGCTTCTCAAGGCGGCGGCGGGTGGTTCCCATGCACGGGGGCGCGTGGAAGGGCTTCCCTGCACCAGGGTGCTCATCCCGCTCCTGTTTGTGGTCCCAGCTCCTGCACAGGGGCTTTCCATGGGCTTTGCCCTTTGGGCCAGTCCACTGGGTTGGGGAGCCTGTGGTGGGGAGGCTGGAGCCCCAGATGATCTCTGGGCTGTGCGGGAGCTCCGCTCGCTGCCCGCTCCGCTGCTGGTGCACGCGAGCACGGCCGGCATTGCGCCTGGGAAAGGGATCCCGTGGGGCAGCGCGGAGGGTTCCAGCCATGGCATGGGGGCACCTCTGGCCGCCACAGCTCGCCTCCCTGCAGCGGCACGTTGCATCGTTGCATGCAGTGGGCAGCCCTGTCCCACTGTGGCTGCTGCACCCAAGCAGCGGCCCCAGGCCGGAGACCCAGCCGCTCCGTACCGCCGGAGCACCGTCCGGCTCCTGACACTCAGGTGGTTTCACAGGTGTTGGCGGAGCTGTTGCCCACGGCCGGGCTCTGCTGGGGCTGGAGCCGGGGTCCCCACACGGCTGAGCCGGAGGGAAGCGGCTCCTCGAAGGCAGTGGCTGTGCTGGCGCAGGGGGCTCGGGGGGGCTCAGCTCTGCCGCCCTCCCGGCCACATCCTGACCCACGACACGCTGTGTCCCGCTGCCTGCTTGTGCTGCTGACTCCGTGCCAGTGACTCTGTGGGGACCCAGCGGGTTTATTGTGTGAGAAAACCAGCTCTTGCTCGATCCCCCTGCCCTTTTGCCCATTCCCAGTGCCCCCGGGGGCACTTTTTGTCCATTCCCAGTCCCACTCTCAACCCCACTTGCCTCTCCAAGCCCTGGGAGGAGCCTCCCCATCCTGCCAGGTCCAGGTGCTGAGCCCGCCTCACACCGTCCCTGCACGGGGACTGAACCTCCCACGGCTGAAACCCTGTCCGACGCCTCTGAGTGCCCCGGCTGCAGGAACAGGGGTGTCCTGTCCCCTTCTGGTGATCCTGTCCCATTGGGGGTTCCTGTCCTGATAGGGGTATCATGTCCCGACAGGGCATCCTGTCCCGCCAGGACTCACTGCTGGACCCGGGAGGGGTTTCTAGGTCCCAGCTATGGGGCTCGGTCTCCTCTTTCAGCGCCTCCCGCCCTCAGGAAGTTGCTCCCCGCTCCGCCAGCACCTCGGGGACGCGGCGGGAGCCGGGACCAGGGCCGAGCGGTGCCGGAGCGCGGACGGGAGGAGCGGCGGGGCCGCCGTGGCGGGACACGCGCTCGGCCCGTCCCCTCGCGCGGGGCCCGGCGCGGACATCGCCCCGTGGCGACACGCCCGGCGCGGCC